CACAGTACGATATAAAAAAAAAACAACCTCCCAAATGATATTGCAATGAAACACAGATTAACAAAATAAGAAAGTACTATTATTTACACTGATGGTGGGGGGGAAAGAGGGCTATAGTAATTAGTAATCCAGTATAACTTACTAATTGACCACTCAACTAGGCCTTGATCCCAACTGCTTATGGCCAGTGAGATAAAACCTTCTTTTCCCATTCAGTTGCTTTGAATAACCTATTTCAAAATTGTAACTAAAAAAGAGTACGAAAGGAGTCTGTTTAACATCAACGCATCACTAAAGAAAACTGGTAGTGGTTGAAGGAGAGTCTTAAAAAATCGCAGCACAAAGCCCATGACAAAGCTCAGTGAAGATTAAGAGAGAGAGAAATCATGCAAAAATTAATGAACAGCTAAAGCTAGATGTTAAAAGACTAGAAGTTTTTTTTTTTTTTTTTTAATATTCCATGGGCTTACATGAGAGGGATCTAAAAATCCTAAAAAAGGAAGAAACATAAAGACGTTAAAATTCCATGGGCTTACATGAGAGGGATCTAAAAATCCTAAAAAAGGAAGAAACATAAAGACGTTAAAATTCCATGGGCTTACATGAGAGGGATTCCAAATCCACAGGGATAAATGGAAGATCACAAGGATCTCTATGACATCAGCAGTTTAATTAAGTACTGATTTGATAAAAGCTCTATGTTAGCTATCTTCCTGTTACAACATTCCTTCGTCAAAGATTGAGACCAGCTCAAAAGGAAGGTAGATTAAGAGTTGCATAGAATTCAAGCACATCTATAGCAGGTCTCAAGTATTACCAACAAACATGGCCCAAGGAATAGACATTGCAACCACCTTAGTCTAAAGCCAAAGCACGCCTCTATAGATGAAGGTGTTAATGTGTAACCATATGATGATTGTACATAATTCTTAACAATAGTGGTATTGCAGGTATAGCTAAATAGAGACCAATATATGAGCCAAACTCAGTACTCAGAAGTGGCTAAATTATCCTCCCAAAACCAGTGCATTGATATTTCACACAAAATCATAAAATATTGACATTCAACCTAACATTTCTTCTTCAGAAGTGGTAGATTATAACCTCAATGTTTTTTGACCAAAAGTTCAAAAGGTTGGTCAATCACCAGCGTATGCATGTGTATGAGAGAGAAAGGAAGATATGGTAAGAGAAGATTACCACAAAATCTTGGTATTCCACAATGCTGCCGGCATAGCCACGACTGATTGTGACTTTCAGGATATACCTGTAATGAGCATAATTCAGCAAACGTTCAACACACATTTTAAAATAACAAATACCATACTGAAGTATTGATCTGATAAAATGAATAGATGACATCATGACAGAATTATTACATATTTATTCATTTCCACTTTCTACTGTTATCCAATCATCAATAAGAATGCAGTGTGCTTTTTTTTTTTTTTATGAAAAATAATATTTTGAGTTATCTAAATTAATACAAGAAGGGCGGGCCTAGTGTAGCGGTAAAGCTACCCCTTGGTGACCTGGTGGTCACGGGTTCGAGTCGCGAAAACAACCTCTTCATTTGCGAGGGTAAGGCTACATACATCAACCCTTCCCTAGGCCCTGCTTAAGTGGGAACTTCGTGCACTGGGTACACCCTTTATCTAAATTAATACAATTTAGCATCGGCACTCCCGCCCCCTCCTCTCCAATCTTGTGTTTGGTTGGGCCTAGGGATGGCAATTTAAACCCGGCCCGACGAGAACCCGACCCCGATTAATACAGTTTTTTCCCGAAAAATACTCCCGACGGGTCGGGGATGGTATTAAAAAAAAAAAATCCCGGTCATTTTCAGGCTGGGGACGGTGATAAGAAATTCCGCCCCGGCCCCGGCCCGACCCCGTCCCCGTTTCTGCCCCGCCTAATATATATTATGTACTCATCTCTCTCTAATATGTATTATATACTCTCACCTACCTACCCACTAATATATATCAACTCTCTCTCTCATCTGCTAACAATCCCAAGACAAACACACCTCCTCTCCTCTCTCTCATTTCAGATCGATCTCTCTCCCTCTCTGCCGCCATGATTGATTCTCTCTCAAGCTCTCACTCTCACACTGTTCTACTCTCTCACTCACCCTCGCACTGTTCGCGACGCCGATCGTCACTGTCCGCGACGCCGATCGGCCTCCTCCGTCGTCCATGGCCTCCGTCGTCGCAATCACAGCCATCCATCGCCTCCGCATCTCCGATCGTCCTGCTCCTTCGTCCACCACAGATCTGTACGTGTATGTATACATGTATGTATACACAGATCTCAGATCCGATCTGTCCATTTTTTTTTTTTTTGGTTTATGATCTATTGATGATTTTGTTGATATGTTGATGTTGAAAATGATACGTTGATGTTGATGATGATGATGTTGTTGTTGTTATTAATTGTGGTGTTGAAACATATTTGGGGGCCGAGGAATTTTCAGGGTCGGGGAAAGGATGGGGACGGTGGTAGGTTCCCCGTCGGGGATTGGGGCCGAGGCCGGGGAGATTTTCACAATCAGGGATTGGGGACGGGGAGTGTGATCCCCAGCCCCACCCCGCCCCACCCCGTTGCCATTCCTAGTTGAGCCTGGGATAACTACACCTCTTTTTGCACAACCAAACACCTTATTGCAATTTTGATTTGTATGTGTTTGGGTTGGGTTGGGAGATATTTAGTCAAGTCCCACCTGAAACAAACACAGGTATAACAAACAATACATTGTTATGTTGGATGACCTATGCATATATTGACTCTGAACAACAAAAGCCTGACTAACCAACCCACAAAGAAGACAACGCATCACATACACTAAAAAGAGGCAAGACCAATTATTCCCTAAATAAAGGACTTGTCCTCCCAAATGACGAAGCTTTTTCTCAGACATGCACTTCAAATAAAAATATAAAAATAAAAAATAAAAAAAAAATCAACCAAAATAGGTTTTAGATGGTTCAATCTTGTGAAACCTAAAATTTTATATATTCAATATTGTCAGATATTCAAATAAGGAGCAATAAGAGAAACTATCATTTATTGGCTAAAATATCAATCAAATTGTTGCTCTTTGGGGTCTAAGAAACACGGACACTTTTAAAAAGGTGTCGTGTCAGATACCGACATGACAAAAAAACACTAGTCAGACACACACAACCAAACATGTTCTACTATTTTTTTTTTTTTTTAAATTAGACTTTGACACACTTCAGACATTTGAAGAACACATGTCTATCATTTAGACACATGAAACATATTACAAATTTGAATAAAATTACTTAAGACTCCAATGATAAAAAAAAAAATGTAAATGTATATCTATTCTCCTCCTTTAAACTTTAAAAATTATTATCGTTGAATAGAATAATCATATATATAACAAATAATAATTGTTTATCCTTATACGTGTCATCTAATAAATATATAAAATTTATATTTTGTGCGTGTCATCATTTAGACACATGAAACATATTACAAATTTGAATAAAATTACTTAAGACTTCAATGATTAAAAAAAAAATGTAAATGTATATCTATTCTCCTCCTTTAAACTTTAAAAATTATTATCGTTGAATAGAAAAAAAAAAATGTAAATGTATATCTATTCTCCTCCTTTAAACTTTAAAAATTATTATCGTTGAATAGAATAATCATATATATAACAAATAATAATTGTTTATCCTTATACGTGTCATCTAATAAATATATAAAATTTATATTTTGTGCGTGTCTCTCATGTGTCATGTCCTATAACTTTTGAAAAGTTTTGTGTCAGCATGTCCATATCTATACTTCTTAGCTTGGGATTATAAAATGAAGTCATTAAGCATGCAACGACATTAAGGCCAAGTTGCACCAAACAAACAATGAGGACTGCCAAAATAACTTCTAAGAACTTCAAACAGTGTCCCATTCAAAGCTGTAAACCAGTATACAGTGGACCAAACTGAAGCAATATCGCAAACAATGGCATGTAGCCATTGCAGAATGTTATGCGAAAGCAGATGATCATCTTAGAATTGATAGGTCTATAAGAGCCAGAGAAGATCTTAATAAGCAAGAGTTAGAATTCACACTGTTAATTATGAAATGGTCCAAATACAAAGCCATCAGATAAAGACATACTAGCTAACTCACCTGAGACGCACATTCACCCCATTGTATGTCTCATATGGCATTTCAACTGTAGAAAATTCAAAAGGATATGTCTTCCTTTCGTATATTTCACCGGGAACATCCAGTTCACGAACTATAAACAATAAAACAAAGGATTGGGGGGTAAAAAAAATGAAGGAAACCCCTTTTGCTAACAGTTGTATGAAAATCTAGCTAAGAAAAAACTTTAACACATTTTGGAATTACAGATAAGAATAATGAAAGTTGAGATTTGTAAAGAAAAACTTACAAAGTCTATTAAAATTATTAAAGTAGTGTGATAAATAGTTGGAAAAACAAAATAAGCAAATGTAACCAAAGTATAGTATACTCACCAAGGGAGGTAAAGTCATAGAAATTGCCTCTATCGAAATATATTTCTGTAAAAACAAAAATTATATAAAAATGCAATAGTAATGATATTTCAGAAACTACTTTTTGATCATTACCAGTGGCTAGTACTCACCAAAATCATGTAACCCAAAAAACAAAGAACAATAAACCAACATGGCATATACTCTTCTTCCAGTGGTTAATATTTGCCTATTGTACAAACTGGAAAACTTTTATTTTAAAAGAAGAAAAAGAGTGCAGCTTCATTGTCGCCACAGGGGAATAGGGGAATCAAGAAATAAGGTAGAATATTATTTACTGCTCTGCTAAGGATTGGTTCGTTGCATAGAAGAAACCCAAAGTTGTATCCAACCAATTCTTTTTTTCTTGTTCAATAATTAGCCGTTTAGAAGTACTTCACAAACTGAAAAACTAACATCATACTTTAGAAAACGTAACAAAGTAGTTAAAAAACCCTACAGATATGTTAGTGTCTTTTTTTTCCATTTTGATGAAAATTAAGAACTTCATTATATGAGTGCCTGGTTGAGAGGAAAAATCCAGGCCGACAAAAGAAGAGAAGCCCTCTCATTGTTTATGCTGTAATTCTTCACATCTCTCATTTTGAAAGCAATACATCATATCAGAAACTTCCAAGTAAAGCTCACCTATCTGACCAAGGAGCTCAATCTTAATCCCATTATGTTCAACCTTCTTCCCTTGGACTGGTTCAATAGAAATCTGAAAATGACACCATCATTAATATATATATATATACACACACACATAAATTCAGAGTATTTAGATTGTCAAACTAATATGTTTGAAGCTAGTATCTAAATTTAACAGTGAGAATAAATGTAATCAACAATCACAGCCGTACTACTCGCTGAAATACCTTCCCGGCAATGTTTTCTTGACTTTGGAAGAGAGGAATCATGACTGTTTGACCATTTTCCTTCTTCATTGGAACCTATGCAGACATGTGCACAAGAAATAAGTATCATCTTCACAGCATTAACCATCTTCTATATAGGTTGCAATAAAACTCCACAAGCTAATTAAGAAAACAAATCTGAATCTAGAAATTGAACCAGTGTAGTCACAATTGCCAGGAAATTTCTTTATGCAACAGATTAAAGCCATTAGAAAATGGTAGAAATAGTAAGGCCTCGTTTGGCAAGTGACTGTTTTAGCTTAAAAGCCAAAAAGTTACTAAAAAAATCAAAAAGCCAACAACTTATACTAAAAAGTCAAAGATTCCCTTTTCTCTCTACTTTTTGCACATCTTTTCGTAAAAAGTCAAAAAGTTATCCCAAACATACTAAGGCCAAGTTTGGCATATTGCAAAAAAGCCAAAAAGTCAAAGAGTTACTCAAAAAGTTAAAAAGTTAACACTATTCACCAAAAGTCAACAATTACGGCTGCACAACTCTCAATCCTAATTTTTCCCTAAGGCGAGTTGGTTCCCTACAAATCAATTTTTACAATTTTTTATTACACATTTTTTCATAAAAAGTCAAAAAGTTAACCCAAACATCCATATTTTCTTCCTCAATTTTTTAGTCCAAAAAGACAAAAGTGCACTTATTTAGGACACCCCAAACAACCCCTAATTTTTTTTACCTCATATTTTAGCCAAAAACTAAAAAATTACTAAAATAGCTTGTTCTCAAACGAGGCCTAAGCAGATGAGCACAATGTCTCATAAACCATAGACGGACGATGTCTAATATAAATCATACTTAAAGATCATTCAAAGGGTTGTATTGTCATCATTGAGCACACATATTTCCCATCATGCATGACTCCAACCCAACAAAAACCAACACGAAAGAAACACATTTATTCAATAAGGTAACATATACGCAACACTAATGTGACACAAGGCTGTGTTCTTATTTCCATCTCACTGACCAACAATGCCAATCCACACTGACAAAACTCCCAACTTTTACAGTTCCCTACTTCTAGTAATACTAGTTCCCCATCCATTTCACAGATTTAATACTAATACTCTTAGGTAGTGTTTGTTTCATTTGAATTATTTTAAGCAAGAATCAAATGGCTATTCCTTGGCCTTCCAATGACCATTCTCCTAAATTGGTGAATGATAATTCCATTTCTAATGTAAATTCCTTTCCTTTTTACCAAACCATACATGTGACCCATTCCATTCCAACTTCATTCCAATGAACCAAACACTATCTCAAAGTTAAATTACTGAAAAGAGCAAGTAAGGATTGTCTAACCTTCTTACGAGTTTTTCCATCAGAAAATGTGATAGAAATGTTACAAGCAGGCTTGAAGGCTCCGATAAGATAATTCTGAAAAAGAAATGCACAATCATTTTGGTACTTAGTTAACCAGCAAAATTTTGCTATAATCAACCCAATTAAACAAATTATTGTTGCAAAAACTTTACCATGATGTTTCGCAATCGAACACCAATTCAAAACCCTCGTTTAAAAAAACACCTGCAAAATTCAAAATCAAAGATTTCAAGTTCAGAGCAATGTCAACAGCTACAGATGCCAATTCACCAAATACTTGATCAAAAAACAGTCTATGCTATGCAAAAGCCTCGCAATTAAGATCATTCATATTATATACATAATATCAACACAATGACCCTCTTTGCCTTCAAAACCCTAACTATGAATATCGTGTTTTCCCATTGAAATTTTAAAATTTCGTTTATTGTCTCACCCAATATGAATGTGCATATATATATATATTGAGAGAGAGAGAGAGAGAGAGAGAGAGCATTCGTACCAGGAAGAGAGAGAAAGGGAGGGAATGAGTGTGATCTGTGAGAGAATTGCAGAGACAGTGATCGGAGTTGATGACGAGAAGAGATGGGATCGGAGAGACCAAGATCCCAAGTGTGTTTCGGAGTTGAGAGGGTTCAGACCCGAATGCAAACCCAGAGAGCCCATAACCCAACTAACATTCTTTAACCAGGGTTGAGTTTGAGACTTCGCTCTCGCAGCTGGCAGCTTGAAAAAAATGATGATTGTTACTGTTCGGAAAACGGGTTCGTTTTTTGGTTTTTTTAATTTTTTTGTTATTTTAATTTGAGATTAAAAAGTTTTGTTTTGAAATGATTTTTTGACTTTTTTGTGAGAGAAAAAATATAATAATTATGGTTTATATATGATATTTGTCATATTTGACTAAAAAACTTAGCTAAAATAACCTCAAATCCAATCCAATCCATCTTCCGAAACAGAGGCTTAATTTTTTTGAGTAGTGCTATATGCACCAATTAGTGTACTAACTAGTATACCAACACTAATTATGACATTATTATTGACTCTACTCATTATACAAAATATAAATATCAAAAATATTTTAAATTATTCCACATCATTAATTGATACACTAGTTAATGTACTAATTGGTACATATAGCATTAGTCAATTTTTTTCAATTCTTTTCCACGCTGTAAATTTTAAATTTTAATAAAATTTCTTTAAACACTTTATTTAGAATAATGCTATATGTACCAATTAATATACTAACTAGTATACTAACAGATGATGTGACATAATTTTAGAGATTTTCGATTCTTATAATTTGTATAGTAGGTGGAGTCATTAATAATGACATAACACTAGTTGGTACACTAGTGTGTATATTAATTAATGCATGTAACACCACTGCTTTATTTAATATCAATTTTATTCATATTCATAATCAGTGGCAGAGCTAGGAAATTAAATCAAGAGAAACACTCATTAATTACAGCTTTTTTCTTTTTTCTTTTTCATAACCAACAATAATAAGATAATAATAATTTTTGAATTAATATAAAGTACAAAAAATGAAATAAATTGTTACGAAAGTATTTCACATAAAATTTTATAATTAACATCGACTAAAATCGAAAAGAAAGTATTGCGTGTTACTAGTGTATCATGGACAATGTAAAAAATTCATATATTTAAGTCGTAAAATAAATTATATAATGATAAAATAAATCAAATTTTTACAAAATTTGAGTAAAAATTTCATATAATAGTGATATCCCGTTATTATTGACAAATATTATCACCAACCAATAGTAAAACAACATATGAAAGGTGAACTCCACATGCAAATATAACTACCACTCTAGTAATTTTTACATATGTATAGTGAGATTAATTTGCATATCAATAATGATGGATATTACTTTTATATTGAGATTCTTTCACAAAAATTTTATACATAAAAATATAATTTGTTGTAGTCACTTCATTTTCAATAAAACAATCACTATTATTTTCATAAATTTAAAAATGCCCTTGATATTTTAATGCAATTGATATTTTATTTTAAATATTATTTTTGTTTAAAATTTTATTTATATACATATGTAAAAAAAAAAAATGAAAAATCCAAGGGGGCACGTGACCCCCTTTGTCCCCATGTGGCTTGACCACTGTTTATAATATCATTATATTCAAATACACACCCAACTAATCTTGTACATTCTCTTTTCTTTTTCTTTCGAATAAATATGAGCAATTGAAAGACGATTGAAAACAATAAATGATTGAGAGACGAATCAAATGTCCCTCTCTTCTCCCTCTCTCATAAATGATGGTCTCTTTCTCCTTGTAACCGTGAACACCAGTATCTCAGTTGGAAATCTCATCGGAAATCTCTTTGACGGTCTCTTTCTTTTTCTCTCAAGTAACCTCCAAAACAAAACCGTCAACATTCCAATACCAAACAAAATGTTTTATGTTTAGCACTGTATTAATGAACTAAATGTTTTGTTTAACACTATATTGTTGAACATAACGTCAACAGTCAGCTAGCTAGTACAATCCGAAAATAACCTAGAATTGTAAATGTACAAGGACGAAATAATCTTCTCGTATAATCTTGTTGATCAAGTTTGCGCTCTTCCAAATGTCGTCGCTTTATTCCCTAAAACCACAAACATGAGCTAGCTGGCGGGTGTGTGCTGGATACCTCTCTGATGCCTAAGTCAGCAAAATAAACAAATAGACAAAAGCTCGTGTATTCGAAAATCAAAGTTGTGATACCTGTACATAGTTCCTGTCATGAGCTTTTATAGATTTTGCCTGGCACAATCCTAGTAGGACTCTTATTCTTTAATGTAGAGTCCTCTTAGGAATCAGAAAGGAAGTGCTCGTCTTTCTACACCCCCTCACTACTTTAACCAAGTGAGATGGTTTTACTACGGCTGAATGATAACACGACCGAGCTAACACCGCTACACTTAAGCGGTAGATTTAACTGAGCTTCACCTAGCTCGGTCCCACCTCGCTCTTATAATTCAGCTCGACTCGTCCACAAGTGATGCTTTAGCTCGGTTACTGATCAAATATACCTTGAACCGGAGTATATGGACCGAGCTATTTGCAGCCATCTCTTCGACCGAAGTAACTGCCACCATACTTAGACCGAGCTAACAAAGCTAGAACCAATTTGTGAAGTCCTTTTTACTACGGCCCACGAATCGGTCCACTGCAATGACTGGGCCTAGCTCGGCCCTAAATACATAAAAACTCCCTCTCAATAACTCTTGGTACTTAGCCATCCTCTCATCCTTCGCCTCGTAGTCGCCTGAAATTTGGTTTACCACCAATTGGGAGTCACTGTAAATCATTAGCTCGGTGGCCTTCATGAAAAGTGCTAATTTTAGGCTTGCTAAAAGTGCTTCATATTCCGCCTCATTGTTTAATGCTGGGAAGCCAAGGTTGACTGCTTGTTCCACTATTAGGCCATCTGGTGAGATGAGGACTATGCCAAGTCCTACACCGTGCCTATTGGATGCTCCATCCACAAAGAGCTTCCACATCTCTCCGATGACTAGTTTCCAGCAAGTAGAGGAGTCGGATAATGTCTTGGGGTCATGTGTGTTGTTGATGTTTTCTTCCAAGTCCATGCCTGCTGTTGGGGTTTGCTTTTCACTATCTGACTGCCCCAAGTTTTTACTTGTTGACGAGTCCTCGCTGGGATTTGCATGGTTTGCCCCTGACTTTCTGTCTTCAATCTTGTATGGCTTGGAATGCAGCTGGGCATCTTGTTTTGGGGGCTGCGCGGTTCCTGCGGCGCTTTCCATCCCTATGTCGGTTGTATCAGTCAAGTCAACTGGGCAGATGTGATGACTTCCTAGTGTGAATTCAGCCACAAAGTCTGTCAAAGCTTGGGCTTTTATTGGGGTTCTAGGTTGAAACTTGATATCGAACTATCCCAATTCCACCGCCCACTTCAAGATTCGTCTAGAAAAGTCTACCCTTCCAAACAAAGCTTTTAAGGGAAAAGTTGTTAGGACGATTATGGTGTGGGCATGAAAGTAATGCAACAACTTCCTTGAGGCCATCATCAAAGCTAAGGCTAGCTTTTCCAACGGTAGGTACCTGGTTTCTGTGCCCAGCAAGGTTTTGCTAACATAAAAGATGGGCAGGTGTTGGACTCCTTCCGCTTTGACCAACACTGCGCTGACTACGTACTGTGAAACTGCTAATTACAAAAAGAGTTCTTCTCCAGGTACTGGGGTTACTAGCAACGGAGGAGAGGTCATGTAGTCTTTCAAGCTCTCTAGGGTGCAGTCGCATTCTTCATCCCATTCAAATTTGGCCTTCAATGCTTGGAATAATGGTCGGCATCTGTCTGATGACCGACTTATGAACCGGTTGAGTGCAGCTGCTAGGCCAGTGAGATGCTGCACCTCTTTAACTGTGTTGGGCCTTTCAAGATCTTGGATTGCTTTGATCTGAGAGAGGTCTGCTTCTATACCTCGGTTGGTCACCAGAAAGCCTAGGAATTTGCCTGATCGTACGCCGAATGCACACTTGAATGCCTTTAGACGGAACTTGTTCTTTTTCAAAATCTGGAACATTTCACCTAGGTCCCTGAGATGGTCCTTCTCATCCTTGTTTTTGACCACCATGTCATCTATGTAAGCCTCCATTGTTCGCAGAACAATGGTTCAAACATTTTGGTGACCATCCGTTGGAATGTTGCCTCTGCGTTCTTTAGGCCAAAGGACATGACCTTGTAACAATACAACCCTCTAGGTGTTGTAAATGATGTGACCTCCTGGTCTGGTTCATGAATAGCGATCTGATGGTAACCTCTATACGCATCAAGGAAGCTAAGTCGATTGTGTCCTGCTGTCAGGTCTACTAGTTGATCTATCCGTGGGAGGGAAAAACTGTCTTTTGGGCATGCCTTGTTGATTGTTTTATAGTCCACACAAACACGTCATTTTTTGTTCTTCTTTGGCACTACAACAGTATTGGAGATCCACCTAGGATAGTGCACTTCTCTGATAGCTCCTGCCTCCAATAAGTTTCCCACTTCCTTCGCCACTATCTCCACGTGGTGGAGTACCGATCTGCGAGTGCGTTGTATAATTGGTCTGGCAGTTGGGTGGACATTGAGTTGGTGACAGATGAAGTTTGGGTCAATGCCAGGCATGTCTTACGGTGTCCAGGTAAACACTTCGATATTAGAGGTTAAGAATTCCATGACCTCGATTCTCCCAGTGCTGGACAACGACGAGCTGAGCAAAAAGAATTTTTCTGGGTTCTTTTCATCTATTCTTACCTCTACCAAGTCTTCCACTGCCTTCTGTTCGGCTGCCTTGCCAACATCTGCAAACAGTTCATTGCTCTCTGGCTCTTTCACCATCTGCACAAACCTTTTTGCAGCACGGCTTCCATTTATTGTGATGAAACATTGCTTCAACATGATTTGGTCTCCTAAGACCTCTTTAATCACGCCGGTTTCATTGGGGAATCGTAATGCCTGATGGTAGGTCGATGCCACTGAGCGCATGGCATGCATCCATATCCTTCCCAAGATTATGTTGTAAGTGGAAGGGACTTTCAATACCCAGAATTCCACCTGTTTTGTCATAGTTCCTGCCTTGATTGGGAGGATTATCTTACCTACTGGCCACTCTAGCATCGAGTTGAATCCGACAAGGGGAGATGTCGCGGGTGCCAAGTCTTTGT